ACAAGCTAGTAGATTTATGGAATCCTATGCAGAGAGTGAAGAATGTGGTCCACCACATCCAGCTCTTTGTGTTCTGTCTAGATTGACAGCAGCCATAGATAAGTTTACCAGGAGATGAATCTGATTGCCAAACAGCTATGTTTGATCTTAGAAATATATTAATAGAATCTGATATTTCACCTTTTGAAGTTAATCATTCTGGACTCATTAAAGCCTTAATTAGTTTTATGACTTTAGAAGAAGGAAGGGTTGATAGAGATATGCGTTTAAAAATCTTTCTTCATGTTTTTACTGGTTTACCAATAAATGTACAAAATATCACATCTATTCAAGATCTACAGGAATGGAATCCCACATACTTCAGTGCACTTGTAGCTAAGTTATCTGGTTGTGTATCTCAATTAGAACAATTTCCAGTCAAAGTTCATGATTTGCCTGCAGGTCCAAATGGTGCCAGGGGTGGAGGTACTAGTGCTTTAAAATTCTTTAACACTCATCAACTCAAGTGCAATTTGCAGAGACATCCTGATTGTACTAATTTAAAGCAGTGGAAAGGAGGTACTGTAAAAATAGATCCATTAGCCTTAGTTCAAGCTATAGAAAGATATTTAGTTGTACGAGGTTATGGTCGTTTACGTGATAAAGATAATGCTGACTCTGATGATGATAATTCAGAAGATGATATTGATGACACGTTAGCTACAGTAGTGTTTGCTCAAACTGGTTCTAGGCATAAATTACAGTTTTTGATTGGAGATAATGTCTTACCTTATACGATGACAGTATATCAAGCTGTAAGACAATTTTCCCCAACTGCTAATGATCAGAGTGAAATTGATACTGAATCTGAGATGCCTCTGGGGAATGCAGGAGTTTGGGTGCAAACACATACTATTTTTATAGACCATTACCTGAAGATGCAAGCAGTACTAATAAGAGCATGACTGCACAACATAGTACGAGGAAAGGTAAAATTAGTTCTAAATCTCATATGAGACGTAAAGGAGATGAATTGTGGAGTGAAGGAATCATTCCTGCGGTGGCCTCACCTCTTAAAACATTTTTAGTGCAAAGTTTACCAGAAACAGTAACTATTCAAGATGCTAGTCTAGAAGTATTGTGCTTATTGCGTGTATTGTGCTCTTTAAATCGTTATTGGAACATTCTTCATCCATCTTTAGAATATGTACCTATAATTGGACAGTCTGAATTTATCAACAGTAAAATAGCAGCAAAAGCAAACCGACAATTGCAGGATCCTTTAGTGATCATGACAGGAAATTTACCACAATGGTTACATCAGATAGCAGGTGTATGCCCATTCTTATTTCCTTTTGAAACAAGGCAGCTTTTGTTTTATGCAAATAGTTTTGATAGAGATCGGGCACTGCAAAGATTAATCGATTCATCACCTGATATAAATTCTAATGATACAAGTGAAAGAGTGACACCTAGATTAGACAGGCGCAAACGAACAATATCTCGTGATGATATTTTAAAACAAGCTGAAGCTGTCATTCAAGATCTTGCCAGTTCCCAAGCTCTTTTGGAGATACAGTATGAAAATGAAGTTGGAACAGGATTAGGGCCTACATTAGAATTTTATGCTTTAGTTTCACGTGAATTGCAAAGAGCTGATTTAGATTTATGGCATGGCAGTGAAAGTTTCAAGCATCGTCAGAATAATATAAATGATATCATTAAAAATAATGATACTACTAGTGTGAATTCTGAAGATTCATACAAAATGAAACATGCAGATAATAATGGCCAGCAACTTATCATTGATAATTCATTGGATATGCCAGCATTAACTGTTGATGATGATAATTACAGAACCAATAATATAAAGGCAAGTGAGTCAGATGTATCAGTATCTTATGTCCATAGTCCTGTTGGACTATTTCCAATGGCTTTAGGAAGAACAACCAAAGTTTCTCAGATGTCTAAACTGAAAAGCAAGTTCAAGTTTTTAGGAAAGTTTATGGCTAAAGCTGTAATGGATAGTAGAATGGTAAGAAATAATTTGAATATGATTTTAGTCAACCTTAACTTTGATTTACATAGTATTTCAAATATATTGATTCCTTTTTAGCAGTATTCATATAACTAACTAATTATTTTATGCTACTAACTTTCATTTACATGGTTATTTCCAATATATTGATTCCATTTAATTAATATTAATATGACTAATTAACTAATTTTATTTTAATATATACTATCTATATGTAGATAGTTACATACTTACAATATCTTTTAATAGTATAAATTAAGTTAACTTGTGAAACACATTTCATTTCATCCATCTCGTATTCTAAAAATTTATTATATTAAAACGAAACATAGAATGTACTATATATACGTACAATATATCTTTGGGATAGATTCTGATTAGAATCCCTTAAGCGCGATGAAATTCTAAATTTTGTTCAATTTTTGTAATTCAACCTTATCACAGGCCCATAATATTTTAGTTCAGCAAATCGGATTTTTCGCGAAAACAAGAGCTCCCGAAAGTTAGTACTCTAAAATCTAGAATTTTATATTGAAGAGAAATAAGAATTGCTCTATTTTAAATTTAATTTTATTAATTTCGCAAAGAAAGTTTTTGCCCAAAATCCTATTTGCTAATTTTGTGATGAATTTAGATAGTTAATAATATTAATAGAATATAAACTTGAATGAAGTAACACTAATTAAATGCTAATTTATAATCTAATTCTATCACAGTTAGATCTACCATTTTCGACATCATTTTATCGATGGCTGCTTGGGCAAGAGCATGCACTATCACTGTCTGATTTATCATCGGTTGCTCCGGAAGTTCATCGGACTCTTGTGAGACTTCAGGACACTGTTCGCAGAAGAGATGCAATACTGGCAGACCCTAGCTTATTACCATTGGAAAGGCAACGCTTAATAGAAGGATTAACACTTGATGGCTGTTCTATTGTGGATCTAGGTTTAGATTTTGTTCTACCTGGATATGCTAATATTGAACTCAAGAAAGGTGGAAGAGATACTCCAGTAACACTAGATAATTTAGATCAATATATAAAACTAGTGGTGCATTGGTTCTTGTATGAAGGTAATTGACAATTTTTATTAAATTTGCCTTTTAATTTCTATATCATTTAAGTGATTCCATGACTCTTCAAATCCTAACATATATCTGTTTTTGCTTGAAACAAATATAGTGACACACTGACATACGAGTTTAATTCATTCCATTAGAATGGGAATGGGAAGCAATTTTTCCCATATAAATTGTTGTTGTGCCATTAATTTGTTCCAGCAAAATTTGAGATACGAGTTTTGAGTGAGCGTCTCGAAGCAACGAATCGCTTCTTTTGCTCGTATCTCGAAACATGTCATGTCACTCGTAAGTCGATGTGTCACTGTATTAGCTGTATTTGGAATGAATTAATTTTTTAAAGACAAAACCTATTTCATATCAAATACATATAGTCAAACTTCCTATGAAATAAAATGATCACAATAAAATTAATAACAAATGAAATTTTAATATAACCAAAGAAAAAAATATTTTGGAACTTGTAGTTGAAAATTTTGTTGAAATGAGTAAGAATCTTTTACTTATTATTGAACATTTTCATTCAGCTTTTGCACAGACTGATTTCAATGCTTATTGATATTAATGACAAATAATAAACGAGTTATCTTATCACAGGTGTTACTAGGCAAATGGATGCATTCCGTGAAGGTTTTGAATCTGTCTTCCCCCTATCTGCATTAAGAATGTTCTATCCTGAAGAACTAGAAGGTGTATTCTGTGGCTCTAACGTCTCAGGCGGAAACACTAACTGGGATATAAGATATCTACAGGAATGTTGTCGTACTGACCATGGATATGTGCAAGATAGCAGAGTGATCAAATTCTTGTTCGAAATCTTAAGTACTTACAATAAAGAAGAACAGCGCAAGTTTGTGCAATTCATCACTGGCAGTCCTAGATTACCAACTGGAGGTAAGAAGAATGTTCTTTTAATAATTATTTTGCTATTTATAGTTAGAAAAAAGTAATAGTTCGTTACAATAACTTGGCAATTTTTAAAAATATAGGGCAATTTTTTTGTGAAAATAACTTTGTTTACATTAAATGCTGGATGTTTCTAACATACTATAATATGTTCTTATTTATAAAACTGCTTTTAAATATTTTGATTGGCGTGGCACAGTTAAATCCAATTTTTTGCTATTGAATTTTTGAAATGTCAATTGAGATTGAATAAGTGCAAAATATCAAAATTGAAATAGTAATAATTATTAAATCAAGAATTTTTATGGATGTTGGATAATTTAATTTTTGCCAATATCTTAGATTTATTTCTAAAATTTTTAAATTAGTCATTTTGTTCTTTAATGAGTTAAGATTAGGGAATGCAATACCGAAATTTCAATACCGGTATTTCGGTAATTTTTCATTTTAAAACCGGAATACCGGTAAATTACCGGTATTTTTATTATCTTAAACAAACGTAAACAAAATTGAAAGTTACTAGTACAAATATAAAAAAATGTATATACAACTACAACTATATTCAACTTAACAATAAAATAAAACAAATAGTTTATTTTTTTAAATAATAATTAAACAAAAGTATATGCAATTTAATTAAATCATTATCGCTATCGAGTATATTGAGTACTTTTCACCAAAAACAAACTTATGAGTAAGAAAGACCAACAACTCATAAAAGATCATATTTAGTGCAGTAAACGGAGCGTTTTAGGTCTGAATTTTTTTACTGTGCTCCGAATTGAATGAAATTTTGGAATTAGATCCATCTTACCCTCAAGTTCAAAAGTGAAAACAATTCGGGTTGCGCCATCACCCCCCGGGGAGGTGACACCCCTTCTAAATTGTGTAATTACATTTTTTCAAAATAACGTCGGAAATCGATAGAAGAACTAATTATAAGAAAAAAATGTCTTATATAGTTTTTCAAAAAAACTAATACTTTTCAAGTTACTGGCCACTGAAGATTCATATATTTTTGGCGTTTTTCTTCGTTTTTTTGCAAATATCTCCTAAAATATACATTTTAACAAAAATCATGTAATGAACAAAATAATGTCAATAAAAATCTTAATAAATCGGTATTACATAAAGTGTTCTAGGAAAAATATTAAGCAAGATTTGTAAGAGCAAAGTCGTTTTTTATTTCGTTCAAGATTTAATTGTTGTATTTAAAGCCATCTAGTGGCGAGGTTTTACATTTTATGCATTTCGGTAAAATTGGGTTTTATAGTACTCAATATAAGCTTTAAAATGAGTGCCGTTACAAGTTTTTTGCGTGTAAAATGAGTGAGCTATCATGCAAATAAGAAGCATATACGAAGTTTTTTTCTTTTAAATCATATGGTTTAATGAGCGCCATTTCCACCAGAATTAAAGTAAATCACATTCCATCTAGAATTCACTTCATTATAGACATCTTGATGGATTCTAGCAGATTCACTACTTTAGTACAAACTATTTTCAGAAAACTCACGATTTTATAAAAACTTTATTTTCCAATTTGCGCGGCCGCGCAGTCTTTAAACATTTATAACTCTGTCAATTTTTGTGTGAAAGAAAAATAATAACTAGTTGGTACTGGTATTTAGCCTTGAGGCAAGTTACATGAACTTCCCGAAATGTGTAAATAATCGACTTAATCAAAAAAAAATGTGCAAATAATATACTTCATTAATCCTACTTTAAAAAAAACGATAATAATTTTAGCAAACTTTGACGAATTTTTAAAATTAAACTACTTGTCGTTAGGCCGTAATATTACAATAAGTTCTATAAGACCATGATGTATATCGCCAAAAAAAATTTCCATGAAAATCGGCTTAAATTTTTTTTTCAACAGTTAATTACAAGAAAACGGCTCGGTAGATTTTCACCTAAAATTAATCAGTACCATTCCCAACTAATATCTTTCGAACAGTTTTTGATTTTTTAAAATCGTTCGGTAGGATGAGCTTAAATGTGGACGAAAAGTTTTTTTCAAATTACAAAGAAACGGCTTGGCAGATCGTTGCACAAAACTGACAAACGATAGTCCTCACCGAAATACATCAAATGGCTTTTAAATTTCTAAAATCGGTTCAGGCGTTTTTGAGAAAACGTCGATCAAAAGTCTAATTTTGACAAATGCCAAAAAGACCATACTGATTTTTGCAAACTTTGACGAATTTTTAAAGCTGAACCAGTTGTCGTAGGGCCGTAATATTTTAGTATGATCTAGAAGACTATGGTATCTATCGTCAAAAAAATAATCATAAAAATCGTCGAAATTTTTTTTTTTAAAACTTTATTACAAGAAAACGGCCCGGCCGATCTCTACCAAAAACTAATCAGCACGATTCCCAACCAATATCTTTCGAACGGTTTTTGAATTTTCAAAATCGATTCAGAATTGCGGGCTAAAACGTAGACGAAAAATTTTTCACTTTTCTGCCATTTATGAAGAAACGGCTTGGCCGATCGTCGCACAAAACTGACAAACAATAGTCCTCGTCGAGATACATCGAATGGCTTTTAAATTTTTGAAATCGACCCAGCCGTTTTCGAGAAAACGTCGATTTACGGCAAAAAATCTGTTCACATACACACACACACACACACACACACACACACACACACATACTTTTTCCAAATTTGGTCTCAATCGATTCAGAATGGCTCAAAACGTCGAGAAAACATAAAATTAGCGAATCGGATTTCTTGATGAAAACATAAACTTCTCCTTCGGGAAGTTAAAAAACAATAATAAGCCAGAAAGATCCCTTTGATTTTTATCTATATGCTTTTATACGTATGTTTTATTCTTTTTGAGATATAATGAAAATAAGTTCGATTTTTAAAAAAATTGGAAAAAAAAGTTTTTATGAAATTGTGAATTTTTTGAAAATAGTTTGTACTAAAGTAGTGAATCTGCTAGAATCTATCAAGATGACTATAATGAAGTGATTTCTAGATGGAATATGATTTACTTTAATTCTAGTGGAAATGGCGCTCATTAAACCATATGATTTAAAAGAAAAAAACTTCGTATATGCTTCTTATTTGCATGATAGCTCACTCATTTTACACGCAAAAAACTTGTAACAGCACTCATTTTAAAGCTTATGTTGAGTACTATAAAACCCAATTTTACCGAAATGCATAAAATGTAAAACCTCGCCACTAGTTGGCTTTAAATACAACAATTAAATCTTGAACGAAATAAAAAACGACTTTGCTCTTACAAATCTTGCTTAATATTTTTCCTAGAACACTTTATGTAATACCGATTTATTAAGATTTTTATTGACATTATTTTGTTCATTACATGATTTTTGTTAAAATGTATATTTTAGGAGATATTTGCAAAAAAACGAAGAAAAACGCCAAAAATATATGAATCTTCAGTGGCCAGTAACTTGAAAAGTATTAGTTTTTTTGAAAAACTATATAAGACATTTTTTTCTTATAATTAGTTCTTCTATCCATTTCCGACGTTATTTTGAAAAAATGTAATTACACAATTTAGAAGGGGTGTCACCCCCCGGGGGGTGATGGCGCAACCCGAATTGTTTTCACTTTTGAACTTGAGGGTAAGATGAACCTAATTCCAAAATTTCATTCAATTCCGAGCACAGTAAAAAAAGGTTATACCCTTTTTTCCTCTCCGTTTACTGCACTAATTGCATTATTATAATAAACTGTATTGTGTGTATCTGATGTGTGAAATTAGCATAATCTCCAATATTTTAAAAAAATAATTTTTCTACACTAATTTAAGATCGGATTCTTTGTCGAGTTAAATAATAAGTTACTATAATTGTTGAATATTGTTATTTAAAACAATGTGATGCTTCTATAGTATTTTCAAACTTCAAAACCTTTTCGAAAAATAATATTTTATAATTGTAATAAGAAGCAAAAATATTTAGTAATTATCATAATTATGATATATAAAGTTAGAAAAAAAATAAAGATTACGCAGGGCTAATCTGTATGATATAAAATATTTTCGGGCAAATATCACTTAAAAAACCGTTACATTTTCACAAAAGATGAAAAAAACATCATTATCTATCAGTCCAATTCTATTTATTGCATCACGATATGAAGCCCTTTGAAAGCAATAAATATTCAGTTTAATGACGAGTTGAGATAATATTTGACATTTGTTTATCATATAGAATTACTTGAAGATATAGCTGTCCATGCGATTATGGAATTTAAAGATAAATTTGTTCCGAGAATATTTAAACTTTAGGGTATTATGTATCAAATAGCGCTTATGTAAAAATACCGAAAATACCGGTATTTTTGGAATAAATACCGGTAAAGTTACCGCCAAAAAATCGGGCGGTTTACCGGTAATTCGGTATACCGGTATACCGGTATTGCATTCCATAGTTAAGATTAATTTATGAACATTCTTGTCCAAAATATTTTTGCTTTTACTTAAAATATCATACATTTTTTTATATATTTAATAATGATACAATTGATTTTAAGCACGCATATTAAGAAAAAAGAGTAGCTAGATTTCACTTGTAAATATGAAATACAATAATTTGTATGTCTTATGGAAAACATGATTATGTCAGTATCATCTGTAGTAGTTCAAAATATATATATTTGGATTAACATAATGCTTTCGATCTAAATAACATAAAATAATAAACTAGGATTTTATTATACTTTTAATTCCATATTTTTTTTAGGTTTCAAGGCTTTGTCTCCTCCTTTAACAATTGTGAGGAAGACGCTGGAACAAAATATGAATCCTGACGATTATCTGCCTTCTGTCATGACTTGTGTGAATTATTTGAAACTTCCTGAGTATTCATCGATAGAAGTAATGAGAACTAAGCTCAGAATAGCTGCCAGTGAAGGCCAGCACTCTTTCCATCTGTCCTAATGACTGTGATTTAATAATTTTTATCATATCTAGATAAAAGATTTACAAAAAATGAAATAAATTCATCAATTCCTTTCCCCTCTGTCATTATTTTCCTTGTATCCTCAAATATATTTCCCATATTTAATCAATTCCTGAAAGAAAAACAGAAAGAAAATCTTTATATAACATATTATATACCTCCATATAAATATATATAGTTTTAGATAGCATATAACAATCTATATATACCTATATAAAATATGAGAAATAAATATATCTATATCACAGACACTTGCTACTATACCATTAAATATTATTTCTTTAGTTAATAAATTATTTGTTGTGTGCGTGAACAAATCTAGATCACTAGATTAACATAACATGTGTGATAATGATTGTGTTGACATGAATTAATCTTTAAGAATGTGTTTCTGTTTGTGCATATATAATCTAAGTCCATCATTTGATCTGCATTTTGACCAATAATAAACTTACGTTGTATTATACTATGAAATGAATGTGCTATGAAATGAATTGTTAATTTTTAATATTACTATTATCCCACCAATAACAAGTTTTATAAAGCTAAGTAGCTGCTCTTGTGTTTAAGGTCTTTTTTTTTCTTTAATTTTTAGAAAGAAGAAAATATTAAATTGTGATTTTATTTGATGCAAAGCTTGCTTTTAAGAAGTTATAAATACTAAGGGAATACTTCTGAAAATGTTATTTTTTTGTTATAGAATACATACAAGAGATATTTTAGTTTAGCAAATGAATATGTGAGACTTAAACAAGGTTTATTTTTTGATGTACCAATGTGAGTTCATTTTTTTTACTTGAACTACACATCATTGTTAGTGTACACTTGTCTAATAATAGTGTAATGGAAATATTTAATATGAAATAAATAATTATTGTAATAAAATGTGATTTACTTACTGTATACTTTTATTTATTTGCGCCAGTGTGGATAAGGGATCGTTCAAGTATTACGTAAGAAGATTTATTACAATTATTTACCCCCCCTCTCCTTTGTCAGCAAAAGTAAGCAAATTTCTTACCGAAAATAAGCAAATCAATAACTCCCCCGCCCCCCTAGAGTGCTTACGTAATACTTGAACGGCCCCTAAGTGTTTTGTTTATTTTGATTCAAATTTTTAGTGAGTTATATTTATGACAAAACATTTCATCATATGAAGCATTATTGATATATACTACTATAGATATTGATTGTATATTTTATAATTTATAACTTTACTATTATTTTTGTGCAGATCTTATGGAAACCAGAAATCCTCTTGTGCGAACCATCTGTAGTAGTAGGGCTCGAATAAAAATTTAAGTGCTCATCTGAACACTCATCTCTGAGTGTTCAGATTAAGAGGATTGTTTGTTTGATAGTTCTGCATACTGTGAGGATTTCCTTAAATGTAATAAAAGTTATATTAAAACAAATATAAAATTAGCATGGTTTGAAGTTGTAACGAATCGTCTATTTCAAGTTTATAAGTTAATTTTTTTGTTTTTACATTGCTGATTTCATCTTATTGTTTAATAAAACTGATATTTATATAACTAAAACTAACATAAATATAAATTCGTTTCAACATTCTCAGATGAAGCAGGATTTTTGTTGGACAAGTCTGAGTGCTACTCAGTCAAAGAGTGGTGTATCGAAATAAATTTTGTACCATGTGCTACCAACGACGTTAAAGTTGGTGAAAGCTGATTTAAGGGATAATAATTATATAAATAAATGATACTTTACACCCCGATGTAGTGGTAACTTTTTTAACTTATCAATGTAAGAAATATATAAACCCAGGAAATCTCACTCCTATGTTGGAATTTACCACATGAATCTTTCGGGCAATATGCTCACTATTATATATTATATAATTACCTTAACCAGATTTTCTTTATAGCCTTTGATTAATAAAAAGTGAAGATAGACAACAATGGATAAACTGATGGAAAATATTCAGGAAGCATGGGAAATCCTTTGTTGGACAGCATCTACAGACCATGATGCAACTGGCTTGAGCATATTTTGCAAAAGGAGTACATGCTGCTATTTATTGAAAAAAAACTAAGGAAAATATAGAAGTAGACAATATATGAGAGAAAAGGTTTGATGCTTAAAAATAAATGCAAATAAAGGTTATTATCGCCATGTACAGGAAGTTGATTCAATTTTTATACAAAAATATCTATTTCTCTTACTGTCATAGCCAGTATCAAAGCCTTGATGATTTTTACTGATTTTATTCACAGGGGGCGCGCCAAGTTCCATCCACAACTGTAATCCCCAATCCCCCAGTCATTCGCCGCCCTTCGTACGAGTGGAGATCCGAGTTCGTAGATTTTCGGTTTTGCGTTCCGACCCCTCGTCCTGCCAGCCAGTCTGATTGCAAAAGCCGACCGTGCGGAACTCGGCTGCGGTAACCGATATACGGTGAGCGATTTACGTCCTCGTGTGTTCCTCCGGTAAGTGTTATATCGTAAAGTAATTATTAACAAAATTCCTTATTGGAAGGAAATAGTTAAATATGTGCTATTGTAATATTCCATTGTGACTTATAAGATTTTATGTGATTTAACTTGGTTTTCGTATTAAATAATAGTGATTTTTGATATCAACAATTTTGTCTCGCAAGTGCTGATTGTAATTGAAGTGAGTTGTGTACAGTGTTGTATTCGCTTGATCAGGAAAGATTTGGATAGTTTTGCCGATACAATTTATAAGGTAAATTTGAATAAATTGTTATTTTTATGAACTAAGTGTTTATAATAAATTATTTATAATTTGATAGTTAACTACTAATTAATGAATTAAGCTAATAATTAAGTTTAGCAATGTGCACTGTAACATTACCAAAATTGAATAGAACACCCATAGAACTCCGTCGCTAGTATATATTATTATTTTACTAATTTATTCTGCAATCTGTTAGATAAAACAATGAACAGGAATTATTAACAATATAAAAAGAACGACAACAATATATATATATATATATATATATTTTTTATATATTTTCATATAATGGCAGGAGTGTCCGGTATGAGAGATTATGAAAACAAATTTCATATTTTTTTATTTGATAGCGGAGAATCTATTAGGAGTTTATTTCGGATTATTAACATTATATAATTATTTATCAGATAAAACTTGGATACACATGCTTCTTTTAATTTATCAATTCTTTGACTACTAATGTTTAAATATTGATTTAAAAGGTAGTAAAACACCATTAGTTATTTTAGAATACATAATTTATTCAACAATTTCAGAAAGAAAGACTTCTTTCAAATAATGTGAAAAATCTAATACATCAGGCTACAAGATATTAACACTTGTTAATTATTTATTAACTTTATTAGTTATTAATAGAGCATACATAATTTTTTGGTCTGAAATTAAATTAAATTTAATTACTAAAGCGAATTAAATCATTAAAGATGAGAAAAATCAGCAAAAAAGATGAAAATTTATAAATATTGATGAAAGGTTGTAAAAAACGCCATTATTTATTTTAGAATATAATTTATTGAATAAGTTTGGACCTGTCTTTCAAATATTATGTAAAATCTGAACGAGATATAAAGTTATTAATTATGTATTAACTTTATTAGTTATTACTATAGCAAATAATTTTTTTTGTTTAAAATTGAATTGAATTTGTTACAAAGCAAATTATAATCAATTAACATGAGAAAAATCAGCAAAAAACAATACTAATATTAACTTCATTTAATGTACGGTATTATTGTTCTTTGCTGATTAAATTAATTTAATATGTAAAATATTATTTTTGGTAGATTTTTCTTATCTTTAGTGATATAATTTGTTTTATAACAAATTTATTTTAATTTTAAACTGAAAATTATTCTTTGTATGCTATTAGATTTAAAAAAATAAGTTTTACGTAATTGCTTTAGCTGATGTTTAATAAATATGCATTTATAAAAAAAATATACCAGATGAAAAAGATTTGTTAATCGAGGTTCTCATTATGCTAATACGGCTTGCAATAAAATTTAGTAAATTTTATGTCATAAGGATATGTTATGACATTAACATATGTTAATATGTTAAAACAATTATGAATTTTCACTTTTTTTCTAAAACTTTTTTCATTCAATGGTAAATGAAGTATTCAATAGCTCAGCTTTAGAAAGATGTAGTCGGGTATTCCTTAATTCTCAATGACAAAACTAAACAAAAACTAAAACTAGACAGTCATAAATATAGAAACTATTAAATTAGGTATTATTTTTCATAATTTTGATCCTGGATTCTGGATTTTTTCAATTTTCAATTTTGCCGATTATAATAAGATCTTTTTCATTGAATATTTGACTATATAAACTCTAGAAATTCAGCCATTATTACTTAATAATGCCAAATTATTTGTTCAATGCCATATCATTTTAACAAATTTGCAAAGTTTCTGTTTTATTGGCGGTTCGTAGCGCTGGGGTTAGCGCTTGGCTTCGAAATCGAAGCGTTTTGGATTTCCTGATATTAGTAGTCATATCATTGTTTTTTTGAAAATATTCATCCGAATATGTTTCCAAATCTCTAAGTGAAAATAGTTTTTTGAAAAACTACTGCAATATAACAATTAAAAGGGTAAACTGTAGGGTTGCCTTCCAATATCGTTTAGAACTATATAATGTCTCAGATATTACAGATATATATTGAATAGCCTTCTGATTCTGATGTCATTAGTAGAAATAATACTAAAAATTAGCATCGTCTGAGGATTCAAAAAATTCCATTTCAATATTGCATAACGTAAACCAGTTCGGATTTTTGGGCCATTTTAAATTTGTTACTATCATTATCATTGCTGGATTTACAGTAGGGGCAGTCGGGGCTAGTGCCCAGGGCCGCAAATTTTCTGAGGCGGTAAAATTTAGAAATTTTGAAAAAAAATCTATCTATACACAGAACAAGTATGTAATGCTTGATAATTTTTTTGCAATAAAATAATTTAATTTAAAAAAAGAGACATAATAAATGGAGCGGCATTTTCGTCAGTGCCCCAGGGCGCCAAATTTCTAAATTCGGTCCTGATCATTATGAGAAAGACGTGGTTTGTCGACATTCTTGCGCAATCGAACATTATTATCCCTTACGGGACGGCGCCGATTTCAAAACAATTTACTGTACCGGCATTGTGTATGTTATGCAATTTGTTTGATAAAAATTTGTGGTCGTTGAAGGAGATACTTTTATAATATCAATTTACTTTTGATCATTTTATAAAAATGGTAACTTTTAAAACCATTTCCAACCTGCATAGCGGGTTGATTTTGATCTGTACAATCCTTATTTCTTTCTCTCGCATTTACAACATGCCACTTATTAGTCAGTATATTGTCTGAAAACGATGACATGGAATTGTTTGAGATTTTTGAAAATCACCTCTCAACTGTTTCACAAGACTTTTTACAAAATTGTGATGTGACATTGGTTTTTGTTATTTTTCTTCTACATGTTTAAATAAAGACTATAGCAAACAATTATTTTAAAAATACAACACTGTTTATCACTGCTATATGTAATCTATTCAACGTTTCGATGCAAACTGAGTCATTGTTTATGAAGTACCCTGTGCCTCACAGATAGCCTAAACAGAGCACGTTGTCCACTCAGGTGGACAGCCGTTCCTAAAAAGTTA